TTTCAACATTGGTTTAACCAATCAACATTTTCATCCATGAGTTGATGGAAGTAAAGTATGTGGACAATTTTGAATTACTTCTTAGCCAAAGATGAAACTGTTTTAGGTTACGGAACGACTTGTGATGGAGTTAGTAAACTCATAGTAGATAGATAGTTTCATCGTGGATAACGAACACCACATATATGGCGAAAAAGCAGACCTTTTGGCACGTTTCCCCTTTATTTTCCAACGCATTTTCCCCTTTATTCGCCTTTATATCCCCTTTATTAGTTGTTTGGGTGTTTTTTGGTATACTCTCATGATTTTATGGACCTTGGTTTTTTGGTTGTAATGCATACTGAAATAGTGAATTTTTATTATATCCTTCATTTATTACTAGGTCTACTCATAAGTTTCTTATCGAGTTGGACTCATATTCTAATTCTCTCTACGTTTAATAGGCTTCCGTCGTTAGTGCTGGGTTTATTGGATAGAAGGGCGAGACTCTAATTTAGCGACGACGTTTGAACGAATCTTAAATGACCTTGACAATTATTAGCCAATCAGAAGACAGTTAGTATAAAGTGAGAATATATTGTAAGTAATGAATTACAGTGGATATTCTTCTTTTACATGATTTAAAACTTGTTAAGGTTTGATAAAGGTTCAGAGGCTCTGAATTCATAATGCATATTGTATAGAAACTCGTCCATAGGGTTAGGGTTTGGGGTTAAGGGTTAGGTTAAGGTTAGAGTTAGATTAGGGTTTAGGGCTAAGGTTAGGGTTTCGTGTTAGTTTAGGGTTAGGTTAAGGTTTAGGGTTATGGTTAGGGTTAGATTAGGGTTTAGGGCTAAGGTTAGGGTTTGGGGTTAGATTAGGGTTAGGGTTATGATTAGGTCAGTATTTAGGGTTAGATTAGGGTTTAGGGTTAGGTTAAGGTTAGGGTTAGATTAGGGTTTAGGGCTAAGGTTAGGGTTTTGAGTTAGATTAGGGTTTAGGGCTGAGGTAGGGTTTGGGGTTAGATTAGGGTTAGGGTTATGGTTAGGTTAGAGTTTGGGGTTAGGTTAAGGTTAGATTAGGGTTTAGGGTTATGTTAAAGTTAGGGTTAGGGTGCTAACATTCGATCGGTTTACATCGGATTTTAGAGAAGAGGTATCTATTGACAGGCTACAACCCTAACCACTAACCCTATGGACGAGTTTCTATACAATATGCATTATGAATTCAGAGCCTCTGAAGCTTCATCAAACCTTAACAAGTTTTTAAATCATGTAAAAGAATATTATCCACTGTAATTCAATACTTACAATATATTCTCACTTTATACTAACTGTCTTCTGATTGGCTAATAATTGTCAAGGTCATTTAAGATTCGTTCAAACGTCGTCGCTAAATTAGATTATTTGAGGTTATAGAAAAGAATAACACGTAATCATTAGATTAAACCCTATTACTTCACTTCAGATTACAATGTTCATCACCAAAAGCAACGCGGACTTATTGTGTTCAGTCTTGTCATATTAGACTTTTAGGTGTCCCCAAATGCCCTGGTACAGCCGAGAGTGGGGAGAGTTACCTCTCCCAATCCAAATGCTCTCACATGGCCACGCGTATATAGCCTCTGCCAGGGAGGTCCTAATCACTACCTTCTCGCATCATGGGTGTTGTTTACGAAATTGAGAGGACGAAAAGCGAATGTCCGGCGCTTTAACCGGGTTGGTGGACATGGAGAGTCCACCTAGGAGAGTTGGAGAACCCTGATTCTAAACCAATGGTGCACATGGGCTCCAGGCTCCTGAGGGAACAAATGGGGTATCAACCAATCGTTGGTCACCTGCTACCATGGGACTACATCAACTTACGTTGCTGCCTTGTGGTTCAGACCTTCAGGTCGAAGGCTCCGGGTGTGACCCCCTATGAAGACCACCTGCTCCGGTTTGGGCATCCAGGCAGTATCACAGCCCTCACACAAATCAAATGAGATTTGTGTGACACATATGCATTTGATGCCTCCTTGTACCAATGTCTATGTGTTAAAACAAATAAAGACTTAGGTCAAAGGCTCGGGGTGTGGCCCCTATGAAAACCAATTGTTTTGGTTTGGGCACCGGGGCAGTATTCCAACCCTCAGACAAATCGGATGAGGTGTGACATATGTATATTTGATACCTTCTTGTACCAATCTTTATGTATTTAAATAAATAAGTATTTAAAGCACTCAGGATTGCGAAAAAGATATGATTTTTGCAAGTAAAATTTACACAAAGATATTCATTTTCAAAACTTTTACTCATCTTGATGTATCACATACAGATTCCTTGGCAAATTTTCTCTTCTACTTCCATAAGAATGAAAATCGTCACTAATTAAGCACAAATTTAGACGACCTTGAAGGAGTAATTCATCACGAAAACTGAGGAACGCATAAAAAATTTATACTGACGGGGAATCAAATTCATGTGCTGTCTCAATTAATATAGAGTGCTTTAATCTAAAATGAACTTTTATGCCTTTGAATTTATTCCTTTGTCAAATTCGGAATGTTAATTCTTGGCCTGTTTTCGGAGTTCGAATCTGAAATGTCCGACTTTGTGATCACTTTATGGGACTATTTATGTAATTTATACCTATCTCTAGATCCGAAATTGCTGTACGTCATATGACTGGAAAATAACCCAATGAAACTTTCGTAAAGCGATGGAATAGGGGTATCTTTACATCTTTACCAGTGAATATGAGGAAATAGGCTGCAATTTCATACTGTTTGCTATCTTTTATAGTTATACACCAAATTTCAAATCGCTCCATGTAATCCTCAAATACTTTCTCAATTAAATTAGTGTTTATCCGTCCGTAGTGATTCGTTAAAAATGACTAGATGTAGTCAAATCAATATATGACATCAGTTCATGAACTCATCGACTATTGAACTGAGCTGTGTTCCGAAGTTCGAAATCCTTATTTTAGAGCCCGTGCGATAATCATGGTCAATAGTTAAAGACTTTAGATGATATGGTTCATAAATGGTTTCAGTGGTGCATATATGTTAATTCTTTATTTTCCTTTACATCTTGTGTTTTGGTTTTGTTTCATACTTAGGATCCATATAATGCGTTCATTTTTCGACAGAACAATGAGAAGTTGGAGTTGATCTGGAAAATGTCATGTGTTTGCGCTATGCATTTCGAACAGTCTGGTCAAACATATACTTGTCAAAGCATTTTATATGAAGATTAATAAAAGTCAGTTAAATGGAGGTTCAAGTAAACAAAATAATAAAAGAATAATTGTAAATGAAGGAGAAAAAAGTTGATGTCGCACAGAAAAAAATAAGAAATTGTCGTATTACCCTAGGCCATAAAATGACTTAAGGATTACTAGGACAAATTCAAGGTTACGACATATTGTTTCTGTACACATAAGCGGGGTTTAAATCTACGAATAGCCAAGGCTTCTATAAACCTGATAATTCGTTCTTGAAAACTCCCATACAACGTTTTAAAAACTGTATTGGTGTCAATTCTGCTCCCCGTTTCAATCATGTGCTTTCCTGTCGATGAACATGGTTTTATACTTCTTACGTTGATCGAAATATTTGACATTAACTGATTTTGAAGCCATCTTAACACGTGTCCCATAACCCTTGATTGCATTGTATGCGTGTGTGTCCACACAAACATGTCTAATTGAACCTTCATTTAATTGACCTTTATCAGTCTTTATATAAAATGCTTTGAAAAGTATATTTGTGGTCAGATTGTTCGAAATGTATAGCGCAAATACATCGCATTTTTCAGACCAACTCCATCTTCTCATTGTTTTATCGAAATTTATGAAAGAACATCCATTCCTTTCGATCCATATTCTTCATTTTTAATCACTTTAACAGGCATAAATATTAATATTATCAATCATTTCAGTATGCTTCTTGTTAGTTATGTCTTTCTTTGTCGATGTTTTGTGGGATGATGTAGATGGCAAGTCATGTGTTCTTTGCCCCAACTGATTAGTGAATCAAGAAATCCCCAAATCTGTGATTAGAAGTGCTTCAACCATTAAACTCACGTATCATAATATAGCTCGTTGTTCAAAATAGCGCATATGCATTCACTCTGTATGGATCGGTCTTCAATTCCAGTATCCTCGAATGCCCTGGTACGGCCGAGAGTGGGAGAGTCAGCTCTCTAAATGCTCTCACATGGCTACGCGTATACAGCCACTGGCAAGGAAGTCTTACTCGCTGCCTACTCGTGGCGGGGGCGTTGTTTACGAAATTGAGAGGATGAAAAGCGAATGTCCGGCGCTTTAACCGGGTTCGTGGATATGGAGAATCCACCTAGGGGATTTGGAAAACCCTCATTCCAAACCAATGGTGTTCATGAGCTCCAGGATCCCAAGGAAACAAATGGCGTATCAACTTATTGTTGGTCACTGGTTACCATGGAACTGCATCTTCTAAAGTTGCCCCATTTCCTTGTGAATTAAACCGTCAGTTTCGGGATGTGGTCCCCTAAGAAGACCACTTGCTTTGGTTTGGGTACCCGCACAGTATCGTAGCCCTCACACAAATCAATGATAACTGCCACTGGCCTCATTCTTATTGTGTGGCACATATGTATTTGATGCCCTCTTGTACCAATGTTTATGTGTTCAAATAAAATAAATTGAATTACAGTATCCATACATACTTTTTCGTTCTGTCTTTCCAAACCATGTTCCTAATATTTAGTCTTCATTACCATTATCGCTACTACAGTATTTTGATCGTTTTTGTTATTCTCATCTTGTCGTGCTAATCAGGTATGGGAACTTAGGCCAACAGAGTTCTGTGCCAGTCTCTATTTTCGTGATGCTTGTCCATCATAATTAAAAATAGACAGTTCATCATAATTTTGTGGCACATATGTATTTGGTGCCCTCTTGTACCAATATTTATGTGTTCAAATAAATAAAATAATAATCATCATTAACCCTTAAGGATTTAGATACTTTTCGTCCAAAATTCAATTACACTTGCGATGAAACCTACTGCAACTGGTGCTAGTAATTTCCACTCTAGTTTTCAAGAAACAGTTTTAAACTTTTAGTAGTTATCTCAACCGGGTAAGTGGGTACTGAGAATCCACCCAGCGGAGTTGGAAAATCCTGGTCCCTAACCAACTGTGCACATAGGCTCCAGGGTTTTAAGGGTACAAATAGTATATGTACGTATTTCCGATCACCGGCTACCATAGAATCCCACCTAACGTTGTTCCACTGACTTGCGGATTAAACCTTCAGATCAAAGGCTTAGGGAGTGGCTCCCTAAGAAAACCACCTGTTTCATTGTGAGCACCCGAACCATATCCTACCTCACTCACAAACTTAATGATGGTTACAACTGAAAAAAATATTCTCACTCCAAGTAGTATTCTCGCAAATCTTATTCACAATGGTTTGGTAACATTGATTTTTATTTTACATTGAGTCACTTGTCTATTCCCCTTTATTCAAATTTTGTGTTTTTTTTTTACTTTTCAACCCATACAGCACCTCACCCATAGTGAAAATCCTGTCATAAAGAATGATCATATCTACACTAATGCAACCATTTTTGAACCATGTCATCTAAAGTCTTCAATTATCAACCATGATTGTTGTACAGAATTCGAATTCCAAAATCTGATAGTATTTCAGAAGTGAAAGCGAACTTCCACCATTCTCTGCCACACCAGTACATTAGTAAACACTAAAAGTAATACAAAGGTGTTTTATGAGAATCAAATTATTAGATTTTAACTGTTAAGTTTTATATCATAACTTTGCCTCATAGTTTTCGACTTAAATAACAAAATATTTAATCATTTTACAAATGTGAGTTTTCTTGTCTATTGATTTGTATTATTCAGACTGAAACTATATATGGCTGTATAGAACTGAAGGTCTCATATGAAACTTGAAGTTCGCCATTGATATTGTGGATGGTTCCTCATTGCTTTGGCAAGTTTTGCTGACTGTTCATGCACAAAATTGATTTGCCGGTTAACCGATTTCATTCATACTAGTGGTTGTTTTTCAGTGTTCTCAAGGACCATTGTCATTGGGACATTGTAAAGCTAACATTAGTGAGTTTGACTATCGTGCAAGCGGAATAGGTCAACTTTGGCCTGTTCGTGCTATGCATAATTGATTAACGCGATCATTGATCAGAATAATTATACACGTGATGTGTATGTGTATATGAATGGTGCGAATGATCCACCAGGATGCTTGGTACCTGTGTGGTTGCACCACAGGATTGATCTGTACTATTCAGATTGTAGCGTTAAAGCCTATACGGTGTCTGGCTCTCTTGTTAAACGAGATTGAGCTGTACTGTTTGGGTTTTCACGTGAAAGTCTGGATGATTTCTCGCTCTCTTGAAAACCAATGTAAAATTATCCTGGCCCATAAGGATATATTATATAAATATGAATTATGTAGTTCCAGTTTTTCTTCTTTTTTCAATTTCCATTATGTAATATCTCTAAAAGTGGATTTAATAAACATTAATTAATTTTAATCAGAGAGAGATTTTGTGGAGATTGTAGTAATTTAATAATTGAATTCATAAGTCAATTGAAGCTAGATTATCACGGAAAACTTGGAAGCATTTGAATGGTCGTTCTATACTAGGATGAATTATTATTTTCCATCTTAATTTCAACATAACATCTATTCTACTCTTAGTTTGATTAATTCACATGAAGTTGAAATATAACTAATGTGTAATTTACTAGTTGAAAATTGAATGCTTCAATTATTATACCGCTTATCTCCAAGTTAAATAGACATTAAGTACATAAAATAAATACCTGAGTTACAGTCAACAAATTAATTATTGTACATTTAACTGAGTTGGTATAAATTATAAAAAAAGTCAATTCGAATTATTCATAATTTCTTTTTCTATTTTATTAAAACATAAACATTGGTACGAGAAGGCATCTAATAGATATGCACCACATAAATCATAGGGTACTGCCCGGGTACCCAAACCGAAGCAGGTGATTTTCTTAGGGGGTCACACCCCGAGCCTTTGACCTAAAGGTCTAATCCACAAAGCAGTGGAGCAACGTCAGGAGATGCAGTTCCATGGTAACCAGTGACCAACAATAGGTTGATACGCCATTTGTTTCCTTGGGATCCTGGAGCTCATGCACACCATTGATTTGGAATGAGGGTTTTCCAACTCCCCTAGGTGGATTCTCCAATATCAACGAACCCGGTTAAAGCACCGGGCATTCGGTTTTCGCCTTCTCAATTTCGTAAGCAACACCTCTACAGCGAGAAGACAGTGAGTAGGACTGCACTGGCATTGGTTGTGTGCACATGGTCATGTGAGAGCATTTAGAGAGCTGACTCTCGACCGTACTAGGGCATTTGAGGGCATAATTTCTTTTAGGTGGTTTTGAGAACTTAAATAACCATAATAAAATATTTATATTCAGAGAAATGACTATTAAATTGGAAAGAATTTTTAAAACAAAATATATATTTCATATCAATTATTTCTGTTCATACTTAGATCATAGGTTGGAATGTCAATCTACTTTTAGTTTGACCGACTAAATACGTATTATTAACCCTCGTACAAATAATATGTCTTGAAGCCAAGTTCATAACCTGTTCTTAGTAAATGAGTTACATTATCATACTTATATTACTTCTTGCCCAATTGCTTAACTAGTCAGTCAGTCAGCTACAACGTAGGACCAGGGACATTTGTGCATCGATCCAAGTTGCCATACCTCATTAGCACAACAAGATGAACACCGGATTCATAGTAGTTAATTCAGTGGTGGTAATATATAAAAGAAAGATTGCATGTAAGGACATAGTACAGGAAGAAGGAATTAGTGACTTCAAGCAATGATACCACGTTTTGGTTTGGCCTCCCCTAACTTTCTTCCAACCATCCCCTACACTAGTTAGCATTGTATGTCGTGGTAATCGGCCTTCAGGCATACGCAACATGTGGTCTAACTACCTCAGTCGATGAAGGTTCACAACCTCATCCACTGATTTACCATCATTCCCTAATACTTTGCGTTTAACCTCACTATTACTTTCTCGGTGATCCCGATAGATGCGAACAATATTTATGAGGCATCTGTGATCAAATACTAGTCGCTTACGAATATATAAAAGAAAGATTGCTTATAAGGATAAGGAATAAAGAATTAGTACGTAGATGGAAAGATATGAAGCGATTTTAATATCATAGTTTAAGGGAAGATAGAGAGTGTATACACCTACGCCATTGTGATTGATTCTGAGCCATGTCACCCAGAGTCTCCAACCATTGGTCATGGTAGTCACGCGGACCCCAACCAAGTAGTCTGTATCTACAAACAAGGCTCGGATTGGAAGTTAGTGACTTCAGTGACTGATACCACGTTTTAGTTTGGTCACCCTTAGCTTTCTTCCAACCGCCTCTCCAACACCAGCCAGCATTGCGCGTCGTGGTGATCGGTGCTCAGGCATACGCAGCACGTGGCCCAACCATCTCAGTCGATGAAGATTCACAACGTCATCAACTGATTTACCATCATGCCTTGATACTCTGCTTAACTAGTAAACATTTTAGTTACAGATTTCTTGTAATTGAAAATTTAGTAGTATGATAATTTGCTTGCTTCAAAAACTTCATTCTAATTCGCCTTACAGGGCAGTGGTTTTTTGGTTAAATCTATCTTTTAACTATGCTATGTTGCTTGATCATTGAACTGAACTGTGTAGGTAGGTAAAAACTAACTGGTTAGGGTCCGTGTAATTATTGTAACCAATGGTTAGGAACACTGAGCGACAAAACTCAGAATCTTTCGAAGTGTTATAGGTGCATTCACTATTCTCCTTCTCTTAGATCCTAAATTTCTAAATTCTTTGTGGATTTCTTGTTTCACTAATTTGTATTTTCTTCTGGAATCGCGTCTTTGATAGCTAATACTGTTATCACCTCTACTACGGGATTCACCCTGACAATTTCATCTTTCTGTGCTAATGGAATGTATCAACTCGAACTGATGTATACATGTGCCAGGTTCTATGTTGCGTATGGCTGACTGATTGACTGGATATTATGTTGCAGTAGCGAACATTTTATTTTCGGCTTTAGTTCGGAAGGTTGAACAACCTTGTTAACTATCACGTAAAACATGGAGCTTAGAGCTCAGTTCATATTCATGTATTCGGTTATCGATTTGCATCAGATCAGATCTGTGTTCTTCACCTATTAAGAACATTAATTTGTTAATTTACACAAAATCAATCACAATCCATGTAGCTCAGTTTTAATGTCAACAATTACATCTGAAAGTAATGATTTCATAAATTTTAATTGAGGAGTGTTTTCTCCCAATCAAATAAAAGCAACTTGGTTGTAAATGTCAGGGTACTTCATAGGAAGATTTTTTTTGTAAAGCAGCTAAAGCAAACTGAATCAAGTCTGTTTAATGTTTCATTATGCATAAGTAGGAAGTTTGTATAATGGAACAACATCCTGCAACATTGAGCATCAACATTTATGTTTGTTTATCTCAATATCACTTTCTTACCAACATGCACCTGAAATAAATAAACTCAAATCTATGTTATCTAACAAGTTATTCACCATAACTAACTAAGTGTCAGAATGATTTTGAGTGGTGTTAAAGGTGTTGACGCTTATCGGTTGCTCATATTACTTGAGAATATTTTTTAGCTTCCACTTATCTGAGAAATCTCATCAACCCTTGTGATCCGGTGTGTGACGAAATCTCAGCACGGATACAGAAGGCTCGACTAGCTTTTGTCAACTTACGTCATTTATGGCGTAGACGAGATATCCGTCTACCAACCAAAGGAAGTGTTTACTGTGCAACAGTTCATTTCATCCTACTTTATGGGAGTGGAACGTGGCTGGTAGGAGTAGAGGATATTCGTAGGCTACTAGTGTTCTATCATAGGTGTCTTCGAAACATTGCTGGTATATCCCTGGACCATCGAGTAAGTAACGCAGTTGTTAGGAAACGGTTACTAGGTAAGGATAGCAAGTCAATTGATGAATTGGTGAAACTTCATCAGTTGAAATGGCTGGGACACGTGTTACGTTGTTACTGACTGACTGAAGGTTAGCTTATATTGTCTTTTAGAATCCTTCGTGTTTTTTTATACCGATTATTATCATTTCATTTAAATTTTTTTATCCTAGACAAAATGCACTCTTCAAACAATCTTATTGATGATAAATGTCCTATGTGCAGTATCAATATGGAAACATGGAATACAGAACGTAAACAACTGCATAAAAATACTTGTTGTGAAACATTTGTAAGTTTGTCCTGGATTCTTTCTTTTCAATTTATATGATACTAATTTAACTATAGATCATGTATTGTCATCGTTGTCCTGCATGTCACAAACAGATTGCTGGTCGAGTAAGTTTCATTCTCTTTTTCTTTTTAAACTAAAAAAAATTATTAATGGGTGTAACTTCTTTTGTCATATTCCAATGATTAGTATCAGAATGAGTTTTGTGGAGATTGTAGTAATTTCAATAGTTGAGATCATAAGTCGATTGAAGCTAGACCCCTTCTGATACTTGTCAGCATATGTTCACTAGTGACTGGTTTCAAGATGTATTTCTTGGAGTTCTAGTGAGAAGCAGTGAACAGTGAAGTTCAACCGGGTGAGTTGTGAGATAGTAACTCACTGATGACAATGGTGGATGTGTCGCTCAATTTCGTGGATTAGTTGAATTTAGACATTAACACCGTTGGATGCTGGCTCAGTGATCTAAAGGTTAGGCGCTTGCGCGCGAGACCGATAGTTACTGGGTTCGAATCTCGCGAGGCGGGATCGTGGATGCGCACAGCTGAAAAGTCCCGCAATAGAACGAAATGACTGTTCAGTGCTTACAGGTTTTCCATAGTGATCTAGCTTCAATTTACTCGTGATCTCAACTACTGAAATATCCCAAAGAGTAGAAAAATTGTATTTCTGACGTTTCGTAACTTGATGTGAACCGCTTCTTCAGAGTAAACAAATAACCGAATTAAACTAACACAAGTTCAAATTGTGTTATTTATTTTTGTCCATTTACTCTGAAGAAGTGGTTAACATTAATTAACGAAACGTCAGAAATACGATTTTTCTACTCATTGGGATATGAAAAATGAATTAACCCAACATTCAATTTATTTGAAACTATCAAGTCATTGTCATTGATGCTGAAAAAAGTATTGTTTGTAGTATTATTGCTGTTCCTAAGGATTGAGATCATCGTGATCCCTTATACAGGGCTTTGTTTGCACATTTTTGTATCCATACTGATGTAAGTGATCTAATATATATATTATCAGAAGTAATCAAGCTACCTTTCTTGTTACTCATTTCTAGGCATCTCGAACACATTTAAAGCGATGTGCCTCGAAGTTAAACATGGATTTATTTAGTCTCATGTCATTATCATGTCGTGACCATCGTTTCATCAGGTAAATTGTTGTATTTTAAAGATGTTATTCATCGGCAGTACCACAAACTATTTTTCTTCTTAACATCCTTTCAATGTTTTTGCAAAATGTGTTGTCAAAATAATTTATACGATAAATGGTAAATAACGTCACTACACATTGATATTCTGGATGTTATATATAGTTGGTAAGGAATCAGGAGGCAGTCGAGACCGCATATGTTTTTTTCATCAGAAGAAATAGGTCGACGGTTGTCATGAGCATTGTATATCCTTTTGGTCCACGGTTCCTACTCAAACTCTTGATTCACTTGAAGAGTTTTATTTTTTGATATATTACTATCATAGACAGTTGTAAACATAGTTTGATGTTAGCCGAATTCTCTACATTATCAGTCTACAGTGGTGTTTTGGAATTCAATTTTAAAGCGATCCGAATTTGCATAGTCTAAATTTAAAACCATAACAGCTGATCTATCGTTGTTTGCTTAATCACTCAGTTAAACACTTACTCATTAGTAGCGTAGGATGTGACACAAATTTTTAATTGAACCAAATCGTTACGCTTCATACCATCACATTGGGAAGAAATGAAAAAAATGTGGGGAACATACAAGTTATGACTACAATATCAGTGATAGTAGAGAAGTGAACAAGAAGAATCTAGTCTTAAGAGTAACAAGTTAAAAGTATAGAATAATGTTAGGATTGATGATATAGATTAACTCAAATAATTAGGATATTTGTTTCAGACCGGATGCTTTCGAGTCATATCATCTAAATATCCCAAGTGTAGACTATGATTATCTTAAAGACTAACAGATGAAAAGATACGTCTCCTAATACAGCTCAGTTGAACAGTCAATAACTTCATGAATTAGTGAGATATCTTGGTCTATCTACCCCTAGCATTTATCCACCTTACTCTTATGATGGGTAGTAATAAAGTTTGAGGTAGAGTGCATCTGAGAGTTTCATGAGTCAATTGAATCTAGACTACCATGGAAAACCTGGAAGCACTGGATGGCTGTTTCGTCCTATTGTGGGACTCCTCAGCAGTGCTCGTCCAGGATCCCGCCTCGCGATATTTGAACCCAGGACCTACCAGTCTCGGGCTTGAACGCTTAACTTTTAGACCATTGAGCTGGCATCCAACGGTGTTAATGTTTTGTTCTTTTATATTCTATGTTCAACAGCTATAAAGTAATCCAGATTATACGTCTTTACAGTATATTCACCCTTTGATTGATATTGAGATCTTAGTAATATTCTGTAACGACAAGATAATCTATTTTTATCATAAATACCTGCATAACACATCACTTTTGGTATATATTTTACTTATGAGATTGGATGGGGTCAATGGTTTTACTAAAATGTTCTCATATAAATCATTCTACTAGGTACTTTGTAAGTAGTTCATAACTTTCATTGTATTTTTCAGGCACGAAAATGAAGATTTACATACGGCTTGTGCATTATCTTTATCTTTAGATGAAGAAGTGAAGCAGCGGAAATCTGAAGCGATTTTAGCTCAAAAAATTGATCCCATCGATTTAGACTCACCATCTCATCTACTTTTATCAAGTGAAAAACGAGAGAGAATATTCGCTGAAAAGTTGGAATCAATTCTTCTTGAGGTAATTCACTTGATCCTAACTAATCTAACTGTCTGGAATTGATGAAAGATTGTAATATATATATATATATAGTCAGGAAGCAGGGCTAATAAGGACTCGATACTGCTCATACGGGTTTTATGCGTTATTGGTCTGATCGATAATCCACTGCCCTCTAAGCGTTTCAAAAAAATAGGGGACCGGAACAATTCATCAAATAAAGGTGGGATGATACTATTGTAAAGAAATAAGAAAGAAAGACCGTATCACTGATTAATAGATAAATGGAAACATCACTTGTGTAGTTCACTTAAAATTAAAGTTTGACAGAAAACTAATCTTATTTCAAACAAATATTAGTACAAATAAGCAACAAATTGAATATCCTCCACATATACTGGTGAATGCTTAACCTTCATAATACTTATGAAATTTAGGCTTGTTGGTTATAACAAAGATATCACTGATAATAATGAGTGATAATTGTACAATATCATGAATTGGGTAGAGTCGGGAACGTAAACCATTGGATGTCAACTCACCTGTTTGTAGATTAAGTGCTGTTCACAAGGTCTAAAGATCTTTGAAGTTGTGGATGGGCAATTCTAAAATCCATATACTAGAATGTAATATCTCTTCAACGCTTCCTTGTATCTAATGTCTATCTAGTGAAGGTTAGTCCGTGTTGTAAACTAAAAAGTGAACAGTTTTATAAACTGTCTATACTTGTAATAAACTCTTACTTCAACCTATCCGTTTGTTCATGGGATAACATATATCTTAAAATTTTCAATATCACTTTAGAAGTTATTCAGATTCTATGTAATTTAGTTTTATCTTAAAAGTAATATTTACATAAATTAATTAATTTAGCAAATACGGATTTGTTATTTCCCGATAAGCATAATGAATGATAAATTTTGGGATTCATTTATGGATCAATACTAAACGTATATTTTTACCGTATAATTGTTAAATAACTAAACTATTCATATTCATATCCCTCTTATTATGAGCCTTATTTTGACCTATGAACTATTATTATACGAATTACCATTCTTGGAGTATGCCCAGCCTATTAATCACTACCTCCCTCATTCACAGCTACATTTGGCCAAATCTTGTATAAATATTGTTTCCTATTTTATTGGTACTATGTGGTCGGTCTGATTGCTATATAAACTCAGTATGCTTGAAATAAATGATTCATATTGCAGAGGTTGAGATTGGTGTTCTGGACTTAACTGGCTGGGCTAGTCAGGAAGCAGAGCCAATATGGACTGTAGACTGCTCACACGGGTTTTATGCGTTATCGGTCCGATCGATAATCCACTGCTCTCTAATTGACGGTATCATTACGTATACACTAATAGGTGACACAGGCCACAAGTTATAACAAGATTGAACGATTCTACTTTAGATTTCACATCTTTTATAGATGTGGGAGGTTTACTGGTCAAACTAACAGAGTTAGAACCGATAACCTAATGATTAACATGTCGAATAGATTAATCACTATAGAAAAAACTACCTTTCAGTAGTAATTCTCTAGATATATTTTATTTAGATTTTATCTTAGTTAGTTAATATTCACACTTATTTGTATTCTTTTATTCTTGTTTGTTGAATAATAACAGGTTAAAAGAATTAACAAGCTTGAACAGGTATATGGTAATAATGATAACAATAGTAATTTAATTGCCCAGTCTAAACTATGGAATTTGGCATCAACGAAACTTCATGATATTGGTAATTAAGGTTCATATTGTTTTCATATGCAAATATTCTATCTCATTATTATTATTATTATTATCAAATTCACTTGGTTTTATGAGATGCAGGTACATCCAGCTGACGAGTGTCAAATAAGACGAAACGCACATCGTGGATTTCATCACTAGTCACTATCCATCTTTGCTTATGTTATCATTATGAACATGTATCAAGATGGTTGCAGAGACAAATACAATCAAGTGACCTAATGAGAGTAGAGGATAAACATCCATCATCCTCTATTGCTAAAAATATAATTGAAACAGGCCGTAAAATTGATCTTAACTCGGTTGTTGTGGTGTTTTATAAAAGTGTAAAAGGGCGTAATACTAAGGTTTATTGAAGCCTGAAAATTCAAACCCCCTTTGTGTGTTCAAAAACAGTTTGTTCTCACCTTAAACCTACCCTTGGTAATATTGACTCATTATCTAGAGTGATTAGGTTTCAAATTGTATTCATAGTATTATTATTAGTCTTATTATTACCCTTGTTTCCTCTTATCCTCCATTTATAGTCTAGTTGACCTTCACATTGTTCGAACTGTATTGCGTTAATATATCATCACATAATTCTGATAAACTACGTCTTCTTATTACATGATCGAAATTTATCAAAGGGACTAATTGCTTTAAATTATTATTATTAGTTTCAACTATGGGTTGGTCGATATCTACAGAGAATTGTCTATTCCACTTGTACTGTTTTCAGCTATCACCTAGTTGTTATATCCTAGTGAAGATTACATAACGAGTAACTTCTGAGACCTATTAATGGACTATTATTATCTATATATTCTCATGGTATAAATATTCGGCAACTAGATTATGTATATCTATATTCCCCTTGTTATAAGCTTTATTTTGACCTATAATTTATTATTATACGATTTATGGTTCTTAAGCTATGTTCAGTTTATTGACTACTGCCTCCCACGTTCACAGCCACTTTTTGACTTTATTGTGTACAAATGTTATTTCCTATTTTATGGTGCGTTGCGATCTATCTGATTGATATATAAATCCAGTATGTCTGAAATGAATGATTTGATTGGATTCGCATAGTGGAAGCTGGTATTTGGATTCTGGACTCAAATGGACGGGCTAGGCGGACATAGGACCAATAAAAACGCTAGGCTACTTATACCGGTTGAACGTCATTAGTTTTGGCACAGTGCTAAGATTATATAAATCGTATTTTGATTGGTGAATAAATCACATGATAAAATGCCGAACATAAACTCACAACACTAGTATCTTAAGCTTTGATGAATTATATGCTCTAACTAGCAAAGTTAACTTTGAATCTGAACCCATATAAATCTTAGCTCATATTAATCTGGAACATTTACTCTTCTAACTCAATCTTCGGTCCGATAATACAATATAGCAAGAAGTATATTTTATGGGAATCAACTCAAACAATAATACAGATCAATTTCCTTATCATACACATCAAAATGAACACGAAATTATAATATAGATATAACTAGACTAGAGTTGGATGAGAACGTAGGAAAAAGGTGAATTGTTATTCAACTATAATTTCACGATCGTAAGACATATAGCATGATTTAAATAGGTCCACTGAAAGCTCATAATAAGGAGAATACCAAGATATGGAAATCCGATTATTTCATAATTATACATTAAGAATATATGTAATAGCAATCCATAAGATAATTTTGACAGTTACTACGTCTTCAATATTGTTACCATAGCAACATTATTACAATTATTACTATTGTTATTATTTTCAATCTTCTAGATAATATTACACAAATATATTATGTCAATAATTTGATTCCACCCTTAAGTCCTACATTAAATCCTTTAAATTCCAATATTATTTCAATGTCACAAATACCTGGTCGTATTTCAATGCATAAAAATATGAATTATGAATCTAATGTAAGTGTTATGAATGAATACAAAAAGGATCATAATGATTATTGTTGCGATAATGTTTTAAAAAAGGTGAGAAAAGAATTGAAATTATGTTTAGTTATTATCCTTATGTGTTTATGTTTTTAGAATGTTGTTTAAGTGTTTATTATAAATGAATTTCCTGTTTTATTTGTAAATATAAACATTACGAGAGTAACCTTGAACGAAATTTTAATTAAAACTATTGATGAATAAACATAGGTGAGTTCAATTACTTACTTACGCTTGTTACTCCCAATGGAGCATAGGATGCTGACCAGCATTCTCCAACCCTCTCTATCCTGGACCTTTCTTTCTAGTTCTATCCTATTTTTGTTCATTTTTCTCATGTCCGCCTCCATTTCTCGGCGTAATATGCTCTTTGGTCTTCCTCTTCTCCCTTGACCTTGAGGATTCCATGTAAGGGCTTGTCTTGTGATGCGGTTGGGTGCTTTCCTCAATGTATATCATATCCACTTGCAGCGCTTCTTCCTGATTTCTTCCTCTTCTGGAATCTGGTATCTTCTAACCCATAATAGGTTGTTGCTGGTAGTTTCTGACCAACGGATCCGAAGTATTTTGCGTTCAATCAGGGATACTATATCTTTAAAGGTGGTATAAAACTTCAATACATACAAAGTTGTTTACATTGACTCTCTACAATTTATGAAGATTCACAATTTGTTTCATAATTTTAAAATTAAAATAGCTCTGAAACTAATTTCCATCTGATTTTTCTAATAAAAAAAACTGTTAACGATCTCGAATCCAACTTTCATAATGAATACAAATTACTCAATAGCAATCGATGATAACCACATAATATTCAAAATGTTGGCCAACAAGCTTGTCTGAAGGTTGAACGTTCGCTTCAAGGCCTGGAAATTTTTGGGTTGAATCCCTGACGGTATCATGAGTTCTCATTGCTGAGGGAAGTTCTTTGCTGGAATGAAACAGCTGTCCAATACTTCTTGGTTCTTCATGGTTGTCTAACTGAATTCAATTAGTAATTTGATGCTTAAAATACCATGTTTGTTGTTTAGCGAAATAGCAATCTATAAACCACATGTATTGATATTCAGTTCTATTTAATTATACAGTACACTGTAAAAGTGCCTGTTATCAGAACATCTGACTCCTAGATTCGAATATAATTGTGGATATCAACATCCAGCTGATGTGTCAAAAACCGGATGAAACTCCTGTCCTGAATTTCACTGTTATCTTTTATAAAGGTGAATTGGAGCAAAGTGTAAATATGAGAAATTTTACGGAATTACTTACTGTAAGAGAGAAAAAAGTTTTCACATTGAGTGTCCTTATTTTACTTAATTAGGAATGTGAACAAGTATCTCCCAAACAACCAATTAAACCTGAAGATAAGTGTGACACTTCAGAGTTATCACCAATGTTCTCTAATACCCTTTCCAAATGTTCATCATATATGACTAATGTAAGTTGTTTTTGGATACTATTTTAATAATATATTGTTTGAATTTCTATTCTTAAGCAAATAACCTGTTGGTAGGTACAGAAGATCCACCTAGGGGAATTGCAAAATACTGATTCCAAACCAATTGTGCACATAGGCTCCAGGGTCATTAGAATACAAACGGTATATGATATAACGGATGTTTAAAATATCATTTCTCACTCTCACGTACATTACAATAATTCGTTAATACATTAATAAGACGAATCAAGTTTTATCAGAATTAGGATTCACGACCCAAAATAGAGAACCAGATTAACTCTAGATAATAATTTATTCAATACAGTTGCAAGGAGTCACACACAGTGAGTCCAGTGTAAAAATCAATCATAAGGACTATTAAATACGAAACTATTTTATTCCAGTAGTGTGATTTGGTAGAGTTCACCACTCTCACCTCCCCTTACTAAATTTACCATTGATGACGTTCTGGAAACAGCTTTGATGGAAGTAGGTGATAGTGGTGTAGATCTGTTGCCTAAAAAATGCTATTCATACATTGTTCTGTCGATATTATTCTGTTACTTTGTGGTGATCCTGAAGTTATACAAAATGCAATTAATTAGTTGGCAATCAGTGACCGTATGCCATGTGCTCTGCATCTTATAAGTGAATTTTGCACTTAGAAGATTGTGAGAAGTTTGTTCCTGCTCTTAATCTTGGTAGTGAGCATTTAGGAGTAGTTGGGAAGTTCGTATATCTGGGAGGTAGTGTAACTGAAGAGGCCAATCTATGTTTAGTGAAAGTCTGAAAAGCTTATACCAATCTGTTTATGAAAGGTCAGAGCAGTTTTACTCTATGCTCATGAAACTTGTTCTCTCCGAGTTAAGGATGTTCGGCGCCTCTTTATTCGATCACCGACGACATTCAGTGGTTATGCCATGTTAATAATTTGGAGGTTCAGCAGTGCGTTACGACATAGTGGCGATAATTTCATTGGAATCACAATTTTGAAATACCGACTTCAGTGGCTTCGACATGTAATAAAGTCTTGTTATAGGGAATTCCACGTCTTGCATTTTTTGTCTTACTCACCGTGGTTGAAAAGAGCTGGGAGGCAATCAGCTTCTGATATCATACCTAGGCATCCGTCGGTCCTTCACAACTCCACTGAGATAGTACTATAGCACAGTGGTTTGAAACACTATTAGACATGGTTTGGAATAAAAGTCAGTGGTAGTTATGCTGTGATTCTAGTCAATTATGCAACATTATATTTAAGATTTTTATTCTAAGATTTTGTGTGTTGATTTAACACAAGCAAAATTTATTTCCATTAGGGAAATGTTTCGAGATATCCTTTTTATCGATATTAGAGATGTTACCACCTGATTACGATACCTTATTTCATATATTATTATCATATCATTTCATACTAGTTAAATATTTTCAGTAGTATAAATTAAATCAAAACATATTTGAAACTTCACATAACAGATTAACTTTGGTAAGATAATTATTGAAAGCCAGGAGTCATTGGATATCTGGTTTAGTCTGATAAGGGAATTCTCAGTCATACAAATCCATAACCAGTGGTAATGACCATGAACTTCGTACCATTAATTTAATTTGTATTAGAAGGGGTTTTGTGGAGATTGTAGTAATTTCAACAGTTGAGATCATGAGTCAATTGAAGCTAGACCACCATGGAAAACCTGGAAGCACTGGACGACCGTCTCGTCCTATTGTGGGACTCCTCCGCAGTGCGCATCCACGACCCCGTCTCGTGTGATTCGAATCCAGGACCTGTCAGTCTCGCGTCATGCGCTTAACCAACTAGCTTCAATTGACTCATAATCTCAACTGTTGACATTGATTTAATTGTCAAACCTGAAACTCCTGGTTTTGTTCATTGGTTAGGTTATAAATGCCTACTATTGAAGAATCAATTGCACATTTATATGAAACACCTTTATAATACTTTCTGATTTATGAAGATTGATTTCATTTCAGATTCATTCTAATCCATTATTATCAATGATTGGGAATAATTTATGTTCAGATTTATGTTTAATATTGGATGAAGGTGATATAATTCCAGCGCATAAATTTATATTTGCAGCTTGGAATTTAAATATTGATTATTCACAGGTATGATTTATGATGTAATTATTGTTTGTTTTCTTTCACTCACACCATATTAATTACAAGTAGATATTATTAATGAAGGATGGTGATGGGTAGTGTGGCCTATGCTCCTCCATGAGTGGGGTAACAGGCATAAATGAGTACGTACTATTAATGCATGTTCAGTTAGATTGCTTATCGATTAGTCGGTATTTTTATTACTATTATTCGATGCTCGAAATGCTCTCACATGGCCACGCGTATATAGCCTCTGCCAGGGAAGTCCTACTCACTGCCTTCTCTTGGCGGGGGTGTTGTTTACGAAAATGAGAGGACGAAAAGCGAATGTCCGGCGCTTTAACCGGACTCCAAACCAATGGTGCACATGGGCTCCAGTATCCTGCGGGAACAAATGGCGTATGAACCAATCGTTGGTCACCGGCTTCCATGGGACTGCATCTACTTACGATGCTCCACTACCTTGTGGATCAAACCTTCAGGTCGAAGGCTCGGGGTGTGGCCCCCTCGGAAAACCATCTGCTTCGATATGGGCACCCGTGCAGTATCACAGCCCTCACACATATCGAATGAGATTTGTGTGGCGCATATGTATTTGGTGCCTCTTTGTACCAATGTCTATGTGTTAAAATAAATAAATAAAACTGATTTTGTGATTATTATCATTGTTTTATTAGTCAATATCCATACAGATTGTTTTTGGTTATATTGGATTATTTGAGTTGAATGGTTTCACTATGAAGTTTTCATCGTCATTGAATGACAATAACATCATCATTTGTTTCAAGTAGAATTGAGAGTTTTATTCCTTCCACTAAACAGTTCGTTTTGATGCCTGTAAAAGTATACTTTAGAGACGAGGGCAATTAGATTAGAGAAAGCAATTTACAGGTTTTTAAGCAAAATTCAAATCATATGTATGAAGAACAATAAAATTTCTTTTGTACATTCCTCAGAACGCTTAAAATGATTGTGGAAAATTGTTTTTTTCTTCTCTGTCTACAAATGCTTCATTTTTTTCTCTTTAAACTGTATATAACAGGCAAACTGACACTATCGCTAGATTCTAACCCTAATCTGGTAATTCTGAAACAAAACACCCTCATGGTACTACATTTTATGGATAAACTAATCAGACATAGATTTTTATAATTTTTGATGAAATGCATTTATCCATATCACTGTAAAGTATTTTTACCTTATAGCTTATATAGGGTCATGATAAAAACCCCAACTGTAACTAAGAACAATATAGGGATCCTTAACAATCTGTTTGGTTCCCTTCAAGAGTTTGAAGGTCTGTACAATCATTATTCATTTGAACGAGTTTATAAACTGTTTCTTTTTTAAAATATGAAGTCTGAGAAGCCTAAAGGAGATATCAATCAACTTAATAATTGCGTAAAATTGGTCCACACTTTCTAATATTATCGTTTTATTTACTATAGACTATCTCAATAGTTGAGATCATAAGTCAATTAAAACTAGACCATCATGGAAAACCTGGAAGCACTGGATGGCCGTTTAGTCCTATTGTGGGACTCTTCAGCAGTGCGCATCCACGATCCCGCCTCTTGGGATTCGAACTCAGGACCTATCTATTTATAACAACTGTTTTCTGATTGGCTAAAACTGGCTGAAAACTTGTCACGGCAGTTTTAAGCTCGTCTCTAAAGTATACTTCTACCCTATTGGCCTTATTTTCAAATGATTATCCTCACAGATTCTTATAGCACGGTAGACTTTTTTTGTTCAATTGACTTTAGATCATATGATTGGTTGATCATTTTTACCATAGATTGATAAATTGCGATTATGTAGATCTGTTTGTTGACTGTAACTTAACCTGAATGGTATACTTCTGGATATTCTTTAAATTCAATGAATTCAAATAGGTTCATTTAACGATTTTGAAATCCGTTTATTTAAGATCCCAGCAGCTTTGTCTCATTCAAATTCCATATTCGGTACTTCGACCAATAATTGAGAGATTTCATTTATATAAGAGATATATGGATGATACTTTCATTATCTGTGAAGAAGACATAGACCTTAATGGAATTTTGAATAGTTTTAATAATTGTCACCCATCAATTCAATTTACTTTAAAAGCCGAGGCAAACCATGAATTTCATTTTCTTGAAAAGAATACCGAATGGTTTTTTTTTACAGAGGTCTATATTTAGAAGACCCACCTGGAATAGACAATACACAAATTTCCATAGTTGGATCCCACTGAGTAGAAAAAGGAACTTAATTCACTCTTTATCCTCTAGGATCAAGCGAATTTGTACCACTGACACAATAGATGAGGAACTATTTCAACTTCGACAGACTCTCATCAGAAATGGTTATTAACCTAGATTCGTCGATAGAAACTTAACACCTAGACTTCATCATGAAAAATCATCGACAGTAGAGAAGAAAACCTTATTTATGAATATGGAATCTGAAGGAGACACGGTTGCTGACGTCTTAAATAAACGGATTTCAAAATCGTTGAATAAAACGTTCTACGCATCCAACTAAGCTCCGAATCGTTTTCTCTAACCGACCTATCATTCTGGGAGGTGTTAATGATAAACTTCGGCTTTGGACCACATCAATATGTATCTATAAATTTACTTGCTTATGTGGGGCAAGTTACATAGGCCTCACAAAGCGATCACTATCCAAACACATCTCAGAAAAAAGAAACCTCTGATTACTTTTACTTATCAACAGATGATGTATTATCTTGGTTAAGGTTAAAACTATTCACCTTATAGATTTGATTGATTCATTATATTGAAAGTGGACTTCATGTTATAAACGTACTGGTTACCATCTTTTCTATCTGTCATCTGATTAGTTTAGATTTCATGTATTGAAGAGATACCAATGATTGTTTATCCAAATAGCAGTTTTGTTTGTATGTTGTACTAAGGATTAAATGTCTTTGAAGATTATTTTCATCAATGACTGATATCAATAGTGAGACTATAATTTATGGACGACGTTTGAGTGACGCTAAACAGACCTTGAGAGCTAGGGCTAAATGAGTGTTATAAAGCAGTTTGAAGAATAATGATTATGATTTATAGTTGATGGTTAGGTTTAGGAATTAGATTTAAGGTTTTCATCACGAATTGACATCAGTTATAATGCCAAGACTCTATTGAGCCAAATGAGTAAATGAATTCCGTGCCGAAATCCAAGACATGTTATCATAAATCTGATTGGTTCTTCCATAAATTATAGTCTCGCCAATATCAGTTTATGAATCATTAAAACTCAGAGAATATTACAAAGAAAAGGACTCTTAAATTTTATATTCTGTCGGTTATAAAATATCTTCAGTGAGATATTTGTTCATGATTCTATCCAGCCTACCTAACCGATGAAATGTACTTGAAAGAGCTTCATATATCATCATAGAATCATTCCATTGAGTTAAGTGATTTGATTAGTCTTTAAACAATTTATTTTATTTATTTATTTGAACACATAAATACTGGTACAAGGGGGCACCAGATACATATGAGCCACACAAATCTCATTTGATTTGTGTGAGGGCTGTGATACTGCCTGGGTGCTCAAACCGAAGCAGGTGATTTTCTTAGGGGGCCACAACTGAAGCCTTCAGCCTAAAGGCCTGATCCACAAAGCAGTGGAGCATCGTAAGGAGATGCAGTCCCATGGTAGCCGGTGGCTAACGACTGGTTTATACGCCATTTGTTCCGTCAGGATCCTGGAGCCCATGTGCACCATTAGTTTTGAATCAGGGTTCTCCAACTTCCCTAGGTGAACTCTCCATGTCCACCAACCCGATTAAAGCGCCGGACATTCGCTTTTCGTCCTCTCAATTTCGTAAACAACACCCGTGGTGCGAGAATGTAGTGAGTAGGACTTCCCTGGCAGAGGCTATATACACGTGGCCATGTGAGAGCATTTAGATTGGGAGAGGTGACTCTCCCCACTCTCGCCCCTAGCAGGGCATTTGGGAGCCATTAAAAAAATTAATTTGTATACTTTATCAGGTGTATGATTTTAATTTAATTTAGAGTTGTCGACTCATTTTTTTGTCTCTCTGTTATCTTCTCTATAGTGTGATATCATTGAAATTCATAATGTATCCAAAGGTGAACTTATTAATCTTTTACAAATATTATACAGTGGAGATCGATCAAGACTGACGATTGAATATATTAATCATGCATCAGAAGCATTACAAAACGTAATCAGAAAGTAAGTAGTAGCAATACATCAGCAATGTATACATGTGTATATAACGAATTATATTTGTACGCAGAACTCAGGTTTTAAATTGTGGATAACCAAAGCTTTACAAATATAATGGAGGTAAAAGTATACATCTCTTTACATCGTTGACTATCAAAGGCTGAATTGAAGAATGAATATCTTTTGTCTACATGTTGCAGAATCGGTGACATAATTGAACTTATTCCGAACTTTTCCAAACCATACTGGTAGATGCTACAAAAATGCGATGGAGAATTAACCTACACGAACGAACTACGTATCTGTCTCCACATGAGGAGGTAAACTAGTACACTCGTATTAAATCGATTGGTCTTGGAAACTTATCTTGGTCATGTGCACATATGGAAGAATGTTTATAGTGGTTTTTACAAAGACTTATTGCGATCAATGTCCCTGTGATCGGTCTATGTAGATATCTCGTCAGTATGTCATGAGCAATATTACCCTCAAATTAAAGATGTGAAAACAGGGCTCTCTTTCAAACAGTGGATTTACTTTGTGATGGTTATTTGTCCTTTATATACTACTAGCTAACTGATTAAATGCTATATATATACTATTTGATTGCACGCTATGATGACACCACTGATTTCTCCGTTTCTACTAGTCGTTTTTCTCTAAAGAGGAGTCGTGCAGTATTTTTTTATTGGTTCATATCAATTTCTCCAACCTCTGATATTTGTTACGTAGGGCTAGGTGGTGGCTAGTGGTGGAATTCAGGACACATGTTTCGTCCGACTTGGGACTCGTCAGCTGTATGTATTGTTGTGTTGTATATGTATAATCCAGTTTTGATCGAACTGATTGGGTAAATTTACTCGGCCGGTTTTTTAACAACTATGTTTATCCTGTGTAACAGTAGTACACTTGAATTTATAAATTTCCAGTATTAGTTAACACTAAGTCTCACAAAACTACAGTTTAGGAAATAAGATTAACAACCATTGATTGAGGCAAAATGCTTTTTATTCGTTTTTATTTCTATTTAATCGAACTCATCTTGTACTTAACAGTTTATGTTGTAAAGGGATTAATTCAATGGAATTTGGAGAATAGCTAAACTATTATTGTTTTGTTAGTGAATTGTTTTCTTCTAAATACTTATATTTCATTCTTAATCAATGAAGCCATGAGAATTCATTATTCTTCATCATGCTTGGCAACGTTCGATGACAAAAAGCCTCATCTACATGACTAAAACACCAACACTAACTACTACTACTACTACACCACGTCATATTTCTATGTTGTATTGATGATTTAACTAACTATATGTCGGAACGGACCTAAGTACTTCATAATCTCTTAGTAATATTAACAGATGATTTGAAATTTTTCAGAATTCTAGAATTATCCATTTATACGTCAATAGATCTCAAGCTATGTAATGAAATAAATCTTCAAAACTTTTCAACATTTAACGAAATGGGTAGTACCAGAGAGTTGAGCAACCAGTAAAATTGTTAATGTAATCATCATTTATTTATTTGAACACATAAATATTGGTATAAGAGGGCACCAAATTTATATGCGCCACACAATTATCGACAGTTCATCATGTTTGTGTGAGGGCTGTGATACTGCTTTGGTGCCCATACCGAAGCAGGTGGTTTTCTGAGGGGGTCACACCCCGAGCTTTTGACCTAAAGGTCTAACCTACAAGGCAGTAGAGCATCGTGAGGAGATGCAGTCCCATGGAAGCCGGTGGCCAACAATTGGTTCATACGCCATTTGTTCCTGCAAGATACTGGAGCCCATGTGCACCATTGGTTTGGAATCCGGTTAAAGCTCCGGACATTCGCTTTTCGTCCTTTCATTTTCGTAAACAACACCCGTGGTGCGAGACAGTAGTGAGTAGGACTTCTGTGGCAGAGGCTATATACGCGTAGCCATTTGAGAGCATTTCAAGAGGGAGGGAGGGCCCACCCCTCGACCTAAAACATGATTATTGATTGTTTAGATTTTCTAAGATTAATTATAACAGTTCATATCAAAACTTACGTAATATTTTCAGCTATATACATAACATATATAATGATATCATTTCTATTTATATATATAAATGTCCTATTTTAAGCTGGGGTCTGAATAGTTTAAAATCTGAACTCAACATTGTTAAAACGGAAGATTGTTGCCTCATACATTCAACTGATTTATCAACAGATTACAAAACGGTTAATGATTATTCTCATCCTACTCCTTCTGTTATTTCAATACAAACATCATCAACTTCAAATGAAACAGTACAAATTAATAACTCTTCATTACAAATAAATAATTCAAATCATAATCCTATTACAACTACTGATTACAACTATACAAATTCTACATCTAGCTTTATTGATTCCACTATTCTCCCAATTACAACTCAATCATCGTTAACATCATTAATATCAGTTAATACTCCTATGATTCCATCAAAGTTATACACCTCTAATCCAGCTCAATTTAGTCGTGATTTATTTTTATTCTCTGATAATGATGATGACAGTATCAATGAGAATATTGATAATATTGATATAGAAACTTATCATCATTCTAATCAAGTAGAATCTTTACAATCTGTTGATGATAGTAATCTTCATGGTACATTTCATACAATTAGTAAGCTTACAACAGAAGTAAGTCTATTTTACTTATTACGTAACTGATTGATATCATTATAGTTGATGGTGATATTTCATTCATTCAGGTAATTTTCTAGTAATGTGTAAAACATTATTTAACTGATATATGATTAATCTATTATGGAAGTATTTAGATGATAATTAAATTAGTCATGTTTTAACAAAACACATGCTTTCTAGCCAAAAATTCTAACTAGTTTAAGTTCATTAGATAATCTAAGATATCAAAATTATGGCTTCATTTTTATTAGTTGAAATTGTTATGGATTTGTCAAAGATGCATTATTCTGTGATTTCCGCCGATGTACTTATCTACTTACTTACTTACACCTGTTACTCCCAATGGAGCATAGGCCGTTGACCAGCATTCTCCAACCCACTCTGTCTTGGGCCTTCTTTTCTAATTCCATCCAATTCTTGTTCATTTTTCTCATGTCTATCTCTATTTCCCGGCGTAATATGTTCTTTGGTCTTCCTCTTTTCTTTTGGCCTTGAGGATTCCATGTGAGGGCTTGTCTTGTGACGCAGTTGGGTGCTTTCCTCAATGTGTGTCTTATCCACTTCCAGCGCTTCTTCCTGATTTCTTCCTCCTCTGGAATCTGGTTTTTTCTCTCCCATAATAGGTTGTTTCTGATGTTGTCTGGCCAACGGATCCGAAGTATTTTGCATAGACATCTGTTAATAAACACTTGTATCTTCTGGATAATGGCTTTCGTAATTCTCCAAGTTTCCGCCGCATACAGTAGAGCTGTCTTGATATTTGGACCGAAAATTCTGACCTTGGTGTTGGTTGACAAACAGTTGTTTTGAGTTGCAGATGTTGTTCAATTGTAGATATTCTGCTCTTGTTTTGATTATCCGCACCTTCATATCTACATCAGACCCACCGCGTTCATCACTGATGCTGTCCAAATATGTAAAGGTTTTTACATCTTCCAAGTCTTCTCCGTCAATTGTGATTGGATTGGTGCATTCTGTGTTGTATCGGAGAATCTTGCTTTTCCCTTTGTGTATATTGAGATCTACTGCTGCTGAGGCTGCTGCTACACTCGTCGTTTTCTCCTGCATTCGTTGTTGCGATTGCGATAGGAGGGTCAGATCATCTGCGAAGTTTAAATCGTCCAACTGCATCCTAGATATCCACTGTATCCCGTGCTTCCCTTCAGATGTTGACGTCTTCATGATCCAGTCGATCACCAATATACTTACTTACTTACGCCTGTTACTCCTCGTGAAGGAGCATAGGCCGCTCACCAGCATTCTCCATCCGACCCTGTCCTACGCTATCCTTTCTAGCTCCTTCTAGTTGTTTTTCATCCTTTTCATATCTGATTCCATTTCCCGACGTAATGTGTTCTTTGACATTCCTCTTTTCCGCTTCCCTTCAGGATTCCAAGTTACGGCTTGCCTCGTGATGCAGTTTGATGATTTGCGTAATGTATGTCCTATCCATTTCCATCGTCTTTTCCTAATTACTTCTTCAGCTGGAAGTTGGTTTGTTCTCTCCCAGAGAAGGCTATTGCTGATGGTATCCGGCCAATGGATGTTGAGTATCTTGCGAAGACAGCTATTTATAAATACTTGTACTTTCTTGATTGTGGTTGTTGTAGTTCTCCAAGTTTCAGCTCCATACAGTAGAACTGCCTTGACGTTCGTATTGAAGATTCTCACTTTGATATTGGTTGAAAGATAGTTGTTTTGAGTTCCATATGTTCTTCAATTGTAGGAATGCGACCCTTGCTTTGCCGATCCTCGCCTTTACGTTTGCATCTGAACCTCTTTGTTCATCGATGATGCTTCCTAGGTATGTGAAGGACTCGACATCTTCCAGAGTTTCGCCATCAAGAGTGATTGGATTACTGTTCTCTGTTTTGAATTTGAGGACCTTGGTTTTCCCTTTGTGTATGTTGAGGTCTACTGATGCAGAGACTGCTGCTACACTGGCTGTCTTCATCTGCATCTGTTCGTGTGTACGCGATAGGAGGGCTAGGTCATCTGCGAAGTCCAAATCGTCTAATTGATTCTGAGCTGTCCATTGTATTCCGTGTTTTCCCTCAGATGTCGAGGTCTTCATAATCCAGTCGACCACCAGAAGAAAGGGGAAGGGAGAGAGTAGACAGCCTTGTCTGACTCCGGTCCTTACTTGGAATGCATCTGTCAGCTGTCCTCCATGCACCAATACGGTGCATGGTAAAAGGTGTGGACTAATACGCGTTTGAGCTAGAGCATGATCTGTGTCCATACATGTGCACCAGAATGAGTGAAAGTCTTCTATCGAGCCTATCGAACGATAGCTGATGGCATTATGGTCTATCTGAGTCCATCCTTTGGGCGGGTCGTTAAGGGACGTTTTTTATGCTTTAAGTTGATGCTTGCTAGAAATAGGAGATTGTCTAAATACATTTGTGGCAGACGGTCCCATTATTTGTTTACTGGGCCACGACACCGTAAGATCCACCCAAGTGCTTCCCGGTTTTGATTATTCTACCTACTTGGTCATTAAAGTCATCTTGCACTTTACTACATTCGAGCGTTTTGCTTTTTGGGAGGAGGATGACAAGCTTTCTATAAAATTCGTCATTGACTTCATCTGAGCTGCAATCTGTGGGAACGTAGGCTGAGGCAACGGCGTGTATCCCTATCTTTTCGAGTTCTTACTGTCCCGTTTAGTCGGACAGGGCAGTTCTTAAATCTCCTGAAAAAATATCCAAAAATCTCGGATTGACTAAATGTAATTTTGATCACTTTCTTACAACTTTGGAAGCAAAATTAACTGACTTGAAATAAAGTTGAGAATTGTATATGTTTTGAGGTTTTCCATTGTTGATTCAACATTCTTTTTTATCAAAGGAACTCACCTATCTATTTTGGTTTTGTTTTATCATTTAAGCCAGAAACAACGGATAATAATTCATCAATCCTCCTCTTAAACAACTCTCCAACTCCTATAAAATTATCTCCCGTCTTAAATAGTGGTATACAAGTTACTACTCCAAAACATTTCTATAATTCTTGGTTAGAAGATGAAACAACTCCATCACCGTTAATGAAACGTATACGCTTATCAAATAATGATGAAATAGTTTCAAATTCATTATTGAATGTAACTACTATTACTACTGATGTTAAAAATAGTAGTATAATTAATACTATTCCTTCTAATTCTGTTTGTCATACGGTAAAATCTATTCTAACTGATTCAGTAGTTGATTTTTTCACTACAAATTCATTCCATAATCACAATAGTAATGATGATGATGATGAGGATGATGATAAGATACAGGAAATCAATGAGAGTTTGTCTATTAAACCTACTAATAGAGAGAATTGTCAAGAAATATTTGTTTCGAATCAATTATTGACACCAGATAAAAATTTACCAAATTCTATGATGGAATCAGTCAACATTACACCGATTCCTTTTACTCCATTACCTAAATATGAAGAAATGATGACTCCAGAATTGAAAGTAAGTTCACTGTCATAACTTATGTCAATTTAATATAAAAAGAAAAGAGAGAATTCAGCGAAGAAATATTTCTCTTTTCGACGAAATCATTTACTTAAGCTGTACATTCGTATATATAGTTAGATATGGAAAATATATGTCTATAAAAGGATAGAAAGGATTGTATCACAAAAATGGATTCGACAGGTTAACGTACTAATCAAGAGGTAAGGAAGAACAGAATTTATGGATCAGATAATAGTCCAATTGACTCCTTTGACTTTGTCGACTCCATTAGAAATATCAATGTATCCGGTAAGAAAATGTTCACATGAGATGTCATTTCTCCTTTTACAAATGTCCCTCTCACAGAAACCATTTGTTTTTTTATGTGACTATATTGAAAACAATAATCTTGATATGTGTATCCCAAAACATTACCTTAAAGAACTATTACTACGATGTACGCTCAACATGCAATATAGATTTAATGATGTTTTCTATAGACAAATAGATGGAGTTGCAATGGGCTCTCCATTGGGTCCTCTCTTGACGGATTGTTTCATGGCTAATCTAGAAAATTCGGTACTTCGATTAATAATTGAAAGATTTCATTTATATAGGAGATATGTGGATGATACTTTCATTATCTGTGAAGAAGACATAGACCTTAATGGAATTTTGAATAGTTCCAATAATTGTCACCCATCATTTCAATTTACTTTAAAAGCCGAGGCAAACCATGAATTTCATTTTCTTGAAAAGAATACCGAATGGGTTTTTTTTTACAGAGGTCTATATTTAGAAGACCCACCTGGAATAGACAATACACAAATTTCCATAGTTGGATCCCACTGAGTAGAAAAAGGAACTTAATTCACTCTTTATCCTCTAGGATCAAGCGAATTTGTACCACTGACACAATAGATGAGGAACTATTTCAACTTCGACAGACTCTCATCAGAAATGGTTATTAACCTAGATTCGTCGATAGAAACTTAACACCTAGACTTCATCATGAAAAATCATCGACAGTAGAGAAGAAAACCTTATTTCTGAATATGGAATCTGAAGGAGACACTGTTGCTGACGTCTTAAATAAACGGATTTCAAAATCGTTGAATAGAACGTTCTACGCAGCCAACTAAGCTCCGAATCGTTTTCTCTAACCGACCTACCATTCTGGGAGGTGTTAATGATAAACTTCGGCTTTGGACTACGTCAATATGTATCTATAAATTTACTTGCTCATGTGGGGCAAGTTATATAGGCCGCACAAAGCGATCACTATCCAAACGCATCTCGGAAAATTTTCCGGCCTGGCCCTTAAAAGGGGAACGTAAAACAATCACTCGTTCGATACAGGAGCACTTAATTAACTGTGGACACATCGCTCCAAAAGACTCGTCATTTAAGGTAGTCTACAGAGTCGAAGGAACTGGATCGAAGGGGGGTTCGAATCAATATTTTATGCACTTCACAGGCATTGGCAATCCACAAACTTAAGCCTGAACTTTGGATGCAGAAACGATTTGTCCAACCTCTCGTCTTTCCTTGACCCTAATTCCCTTAATGGGTATGTTTCTGTGTTGGTGTTTTTTTGTTGTTTTTCTGCACTTTTATTTAATTATTATCGATGTTTTTTAAATTATTATTTTACACTTTAAACTCTAATCATTGATTATTATCGGCCTGCTTGAGCATCTGGGCTACCTATTCCTGCCATCTAGATATTTCAACAAGTTATCTATTTTCGTTTGTTTTTATATATCATTATGTTTATTATTCGCATGACCTATTCTGCTGCGTTTCTGAAAAGTGTACAACCTTTCGTTGTCAAAGTTACAAAAATCTCAATAAGAGCCAATGTGGTTGCTGGCAATATACAGCGAAAAGAATGCACATTATTCAGATGTTCATTTACTGAACTGCTAACATTTAACTGGCGATCACACAATATTTATCGCCAGGACCGACCAAGAAGAAAGAAACGGAAACTTGTTGAAATACTTTACGCTGAGAATTCTATATTGTACCGAAAATATAATATTGAATAAAGCTGATAATAATAATAATAATAATAATAATAATGACCTTTTTTGTTTGTCGCTTTTCTTCATATCTGTCCATTGGACTATTATCTGATCCATAAATTCTGTTCTTCCTTACCCCTTGATTAGTACGTCAACCTGTCGAATCCATTTTTGTGATACAATCTTTTCTATCCTTTTATAGACATATATTTTCCATATCTAACTATATATACGAATGTACAGCTTAAGTAAATGATTTCGTCGAAAAGAGAAATATTTCTTCGCTGAATTCTCTTGTTCTTATTTAATGACACTATGGGTTATTTTAATTATCATGTCAACTATATATATATATATTATCTCGGAAGTCTCATTCAACTCAGCAATTATTTAGATGTTTGAAAAATAGCCCATTAATTATAGTGAGTATATAAAAGTCAATGATCCTACTTATCCAGTACTCAGTAGTAGATAAGATTTGGCCGGAAATCATATTCTACTTGTAGAAAATTGACTGTCGTTACCTGTTGATCATATTGATTGTAACATATTGTGTGTTTTGTAATTATTCCTCAATTCAGGTTAGAGATAACACTTTCCTCATCTAAGTTTCCATAGGGTAAGCTTCTACCGTGAGATCCACTTGTGAACTTAGAATATGCCAATGTCATAGTTCTATTTTGTGAAGGCGCTGACAAAATGCAGTCTTCTGACCACTATAAGCAACAATGCATCATGTTCGCGATGCGATTCTCCCCCACAAAATGCAAAATGTTGTTTCAGGATTGGGTTTCATCGACACCCGAACTATTGATAGGGAGTGAAATACTTGAGTGTGTCGACCGCTTCACTTAATTTGGAAGTTTCATCAGCCCTTGTTTTCTGGTGTGTAACGGAATCTCAGCACGGATACAGAAGGCTTGACTAGCTTTTGCCAACTTGTGTCATTTATGGCGTAGACGAGATATCCGTCTACCAAGCAAATGACGTGTTTACTGCGCAACAGTTTGTTCTGTCCTACTTTATGGTAGTGAAACATGAGCGATAAGAGTAGAAGATATTCATAGGCTACTAGTATTTGATCATAGGTGTCTTCGAAATATTGCTCGTATATCCTGGGACCATCGAGTAAGTAACACAGTTGTTAGGAAACGGTTACTAGGTAAGGATGGCAAGTCAATTGATGAAGTAGTGAAGCTTCATCAGTTGAGATGGCTGGGACACGTGTTACGTATGCCCAACCACCGACTGCCTCGATGTGCGATGTTCAGTGGTACAGGAGTAGGTTGGAAGAAAGATAGGGGCGGTCAGACCAAAACATGGCACGAGTCCATGAAGTCACTGACAAGTGGGCTGAGCCATGTTGATAGGTGTAGTCTACCTGGTTGGGGACGGCGAGATGATAGCAACCGATGGTTAGAGACCCTGAATGACATGACTCAAAATGGTTTGCAATGGCGCAGGTGCATCCACTCTTTGTGTTTTCCCAAATTCTTATCTTCTGAATTCTTAATGTCCTTTATTTTCTTTCTAAATTTATTTCACTGGTTTAGGGTACTTAAATAACATCTTCAAACCCTAATTTTTCCGATTACTGATTATACTTGTACTACTTCTACCAATACGGGATTTGAATGGACAACTGCATCTCTGTGCTAATGTGGTATGGTAACTTGAACTGATGTACGTACGTACGAAGTTCTACGTTGTTACTGACTGACTTATCAGTTTTATTCATGTTCGGTTTCATTAAGTCCTTTATGCTCAATACATATCCTATGTAACATAAAACAATCTATTTAATAATGATATTATTTTAAAAAAATGCATTGTAACTATTGTTTACCTTATAACCACAAACTTCATAAGCTTGAACATTTTCAGCCTAAAATATATTGTTTTCACTGTCTTCACTACTGTCTTGTAATGTAACCTAATTATATATCTGTTTGGTAAGTCAAAATTTTTCACCATTCGATTCAAGAGATTAGTTCACATGCTAGACATATTTGCGAACAGAAAGAAGAACATAGTGTACTGGAGATGAGTGAGTGAATAGGTTTGTTTTCATTTATATCTATCTTCTTCCATAGAAACTACATGACATAGAGAATGTAGTTTTTGACTGTAATATTGTGCTGACTTTAATTTAATTCTTCTTTTGATTCATAATAATTTTGTAAATTATACTAATTTTCTGTTTGTAATAAAGAAATTTCTTTAAAAAAGCAGAATGTTTGAGAGAACAATTGTTTCTGTAATAGCTTCATCATCATCATCAAGCTCAACAGTTCATATTTATTTTTATCTTTTACAAAGGCCAAAATAAGGTATGGCATTAATGAATTTGATAATGTTATGTGATAAAAATGATGAATGTTTGTCTCTGTCACGACATAGGTTACCGATGATTGGCTTCTCCATGTATATATACCAATTCAACTGCTCCTGTGGAGCTAGTTACATATGGCTGTACTCAGAAGGCTTTATCCTTGTGTGTTCGTGAACATGTACATGGTTGTGAAAAGGAGTTACTAAATCGATCAACAGTACTATTCTTTCTTACTTGGTAGATAGTGAACATCATATCAAAATAGAGGAAGTTTTCTCTGTTTTATATGAATTTCCAAAAAATCTACCTCAAGGAGCTAAATCACGCCTACTCTAAATAGCTGAGGCTATCTGGATCAACTCCAGAAAACCGAACTTATAGATATCAAGAAACGATATATCCAGCCTCTATGTTTACCTTGACCTACAACTGAATCACCAGATAC